AAGCAGAGAAAAATACTCAACTCCAGTGGCCAAACGCCTACTTCAGGGGTGGGCATTTATTTCAGGCGGAGGGCCACTTACTGAGTTTTGGCAAGGCATCAAGGGCTGCATGACAAGCAGCCAGGGGCAGATAAATATTAACTTTCTAAATTTTTTAGGTGCCCTGCGGGCCAGATAGAATGGCCTGGCAGGCCGCATCTGGCCCATAGGCTGCATTTTGCCCACCCCTGGACTTGCTTAGCTAAAATGCAGCAGTGTGCTGTACCACTTTTCTCCTACCAGTTTCCCAGTGGTATGGGATACAGACATTCCTTGTTTTGTTTTTGGGTGAACAGATTTTTCAAGTAATGCACAAGCAGTACCCAAATCAATTGCTGTTGGAGGATGGCAACAAGTTATGATTCTGCTCCAATAAAATATCTATACCTATATATCTGTATCTATATATCTGTGCACTACTGCCACCCACATCTGTAATACATCCACAGGGAACTCTCCTCCCTTTTTGAATACTTTATTTTCTTGCATCCCCTTCTGACAGATACACGTGCCTTGTCTCTCTTCATTCTGCCTTCCCAAAACATCTTTCCATTATGACTGAATGCTGACTGCAGGGGATCCTGACTACAAGAGGATTAACACTAGTTCTGACCCTGAAGGGCAAACTCCATCCCCTCCATCCCCAAGGTTGGGAGAGGGAAAAGCTCAGCAGCGGTGTCTCAATGCTTCTATTCCAGCAAAAAAAAAAAAAAAAAAAATCAGCTCCCCACTTAAAACATGCCCCCCAGTTTTGGAAAGCTGTTTTGATTCTAGGGAAGGTGCATAGGTATGCTTATGAAAAAATACAAACATACCACATATGTATGCATGATGGTGGGTGAAGTTTGTGTTATGTGGATTATTCCAACCCATCCAAAAACATGGTGTGATAATTGATAACAGGAGTATTGGCACATTAGCTAATAGAGGATTTTTGTGCTGTGGTCTCTCGCTATATTAAACAGAATGCTCTTTGCCTGTGGGATCCTTCCTGTTACTCTCACATAAACAGAGAATCCTCTACTTGTTTGGCGAAATTCATACCTTTAGCCCTTTTGAGGTAGTTGGACCCCAGTTTCTGCTTGTTTCTATGTGGTTGTAGCTTGTCTTTCAACTACCTTAATAAGTGGCAGCCCTGGAACTCTCTCTCTGCAGATGTAGAGACACTGTGGTCTTGAGTGATGAAACACTCTTCACAAACCAGCTCTGGCACCTATAATAAATAAAGGCACCTATTTATTTTTTATTAGTGCTCTTCATCCTAAGACTTCAAGACAAAGGTGATGATAAGTATAGTATAATTGTAAACTATAACAGTATATGTGGTACATTCCTTAGATTGCCTTGGGAGTTCTCAAATGGTTTGCCACCCCAAATAGACAAAATATTTTACTAGTCTTTTCAACTTTAATGTGTAAAATCTAGCACTCTATCCCTGAAAGCAGTATTCTTAATAAAATAACAAGTGTACGATTCAGAAGGATTTGCATATTCAAAACTAGTATCTGAGAAAAGCTTGCTTTATGTTCAGATTGGCTTGATAGGAGATCTTTGACATAAAATAATAAAAAACCAAAAGGGCTGGGCCACTGTAAAATAATAATAAAAAAACAAAAGTACTGGGCCACCGCAGAAATAAAATTGAATAGAGAGAAGAAGATGGAGGAGTTGAATAAGCTGTCTTCTTTGGGCTTCATAATTATTGGTCAACATAAATTTCATAGACATTAGGGCTGCAAGGGACCTTACGAGATCA